TACTTTTGGGTGACTCATAAAAAGCAGCTCCAGGAAAAAGAAAAAAAAGAATAAATTGGAATTAAAAAAGAAAAAAAAAAAAAAAACAACAACACAAGCAAAAATAGACAAGACTCTAAAAATGTTGGTGTTAAGAGTCACTGTTGTAAAGTAAAGTAGAAAAACACAATGTATGATCATAGGGTTGGGGAATATCCTGAGTTGGAAGGACGCCCCAGGACCATTGAGTTCAGCTTCTGAATGATCACCGAGGGTCTCACAGTGCTCTGTCATTCCACTGTCCTGCTGGATTTTAAGGTCCCCCAGGAAAAAGGCTCTGAAGAGGGGCCTGGTGCAGAGGTGAAGAGTCAAATGCAGGGTGTGGTGGTCCCTGCCTTTGTGTGGGACTTGTAGTGGTGCACACGAGGCAGCTACTGGGGATGGAAATGTGAAAAATAAAGTGGGCGAGACTCCTGGTGCTTGTCTGAATCTCTGCAGAGCCCTCCAATTATAATAAATGGGTTTTTCTTCCTATCAATAGACTTCATTCAGAGAAACGAGCCAAACAAAGATGCCTTGTTAGTGTATATCCCTGTCCCTGCTTCCTGACTAAATGAGACATCAGCACTCATTCCCAGATTTCCCAAAGAATCTCTGCACTGGCCTGGCAGAGCTGAGCTCTGACAGGGACAGGTCAGAAAGGCACAGGAGTCAGACCAAGGTCGGACAGCCTGCTCCTGAAAACATCCTTCCCAGGAATGCAGAGGACTGAGAGGGGAATGTTTGCATGTGTAATTTAACAAGAAAAATCACAGAAGTCCTAGAAAAACAGCAAGTTTCAAAAATTGGTTATTTTGTGCTTTTTGGTGATCCGTGATGGTTTCTCAATCACCTGTGTGTGCAGTGCCAGTTCATGCCATCCAGTGCTAGCACAAATCCCAGAGGATCTGGGCCACACAGGAACTCATTGGCTCACAGAGGAAACCCCAAACCCACTCATTCTTCACGTTAGGCTTATGCTGAGGGGGTGCATCCTGCTGCAGACGTGTTTAATAAAATACATAAAGGTCAAACTGGTGGTGATTGCACAATGAGACAGCTGAAAAAATGCTAAAATAGAGGAAGCCAAAGGATTACAAACCCATTTGCATTAGTATGGCTTTTGTAACCAAAGCAATACTTGCTTACACATCTTGCTTTTGGAAGCAAGATGTGTAAGGGCCAAGCCTCACAGGCCCAGTTTCAATCCTGAGCACCAAAGAGACTCAGATGGAGTGTGCTGGTCTGGCTGTGCAGTGAGGTGACCTTTAGAAAGCCACACTAAAGTAAAATAAATAAATAAATGAGACCAGTTTTCATAGATGAAAGCCCAGTGCTACCCACCAAACCCAGTAAGAGCTTCATTACCTTCAAAACCTGAGTTGGTTTCCTGTGTGGATGGATCCCTCTGCACAGTTTTACCTGGATGGATCCAGCTGTGCACCTTTACCTGGATGGATCCAGCTGTGCACCTTTACCTGCATTGATCCAGCTGCTCACCTTTACCTGCATGGATCCAGCTGTGCAGCTTTACCTGCATGGATCCAGCTGCTCACCTTTACCTGCATGGATCCAACTGCACAGCTTTACCTGGATGGATCCAGTTGTGCACCTTTACCTGCATTGATCCAGCTGTGCACCTTTACCTGCATGGATCCAGCTGTGCAGCTTTACCTGCATGGATCCAGCTGTGCAGCTTTACCTGCATGGATCCAACTGTTCACCTTTACCTGCATGGATCCAGCTGCTCACTTTTACCTGCATGGATCCAGCTGCTCACCTTTACCTGCATGGATCCAGCTGCTCACTTTTACCTGCATGGATCCAACTGCACAGCTTTACCTGGATGGATCCAGCTGCTCACTTTTACCTGCATGGATCCAGCTGCTCACCTTTACCTGCATGGATCCAGCTGTGCAGCTTTACCTGCATGGATCCAGCTGCACAGCTTTACCTGGATGGATCCAGCTGCTCACCTTTACCTGCATGGATCCAACTGCTCAGCTTTACCTGGATGGATCCAGCTGTGCACCTTTACCTGCATGGATCCAGATGCTCACCTTTACCTGGATGGATCCAGCTGCTCACCTTTACCTTGCTCAGGAGGTGGTGCACCCCGTGCTGGGAGCCCTGCCTGCCCTCCCAGCCCACACCTCTCCCACATGGGTCCAACACAGAGGGTGAACTTTATATTGAGCCATAAAAAAAAAAAAGTGCTCTTTACCTTATATAACCCCACAAAGAGCACAAATAAGGCTTCGTCAGCACCAATATTATATAACTGCTGACTAAGGGTTTTCCTTAGGACACAGGGTTGTATTTTATTTTCTTTAAAGGCAGGTTGATGAAATAAGACTGGCCAAGAGGGTGGTCAGGTGTTTGCTGAAACCCAAAACCTGCCTAACTAGTATTTAAGATCCCCAACATGCAAAACTCTGATCATGTTCAATTAAATGCAAAGAAAATACTATGGAAACATCTGCTTGCTTAAATTACCACAAGAAAGGATTTGATATTTTTTAATCATAGACAAATTTACTAGAATGACTTAGTGAAATCCAATACTTTTCTGCCTTTAGGCCTTATTCCACACATGAATCCTGCAAGTATCTTCAGCTCCTGATGAGAAAACATTAACCTTCCTATTCTTTGCCTGTTCTAGATCCTAGCAGAGAACATTTCAAATACATAGGTACAGAAATGGCAAATGGAAGCTCATAAAACATATTTATAAATCACCTACATAAAGACACACGGCACAACAGTAGCTTCCACCCAGTTTAAGCAGCCAACAGAATAAATTATTTTTCTTTTAATCAACCCCTTACAACAAATTGCTAAAACCCCATAACAAAAATCTGTTACTTTATTCTTTTGTATTAGATGCTAAGCTTGAGCAGGATATTCAAAAGAAGCAGAGGCATTGTACTGTTGGTTACCGACCCACACATATTTAACTGTTGCAGATGAAAAGGGGTTTTGTTCTTACCAATAAATTTCTGAGGCATTGAGCTTTTTCTCTTTGCCACGTTGCTCGCTAGCCTGTCCAGCACAAGGGCTCTTTCAGTCCCCATCTCTGCCTTGATGTGCCTTGCCTCCACGCTGGCTAGGTTGGAAAATGTGAAAAAGAAGGAAAAAAAGAGAAAAAAAA